ATATAGACTGCTCTGGAACATCACATTTTTCACTTCCAGATGGGCTGTCTTCTAATGAAAGAAAACTAAAATACAAAGAAGATTGATAGCTATATAAAAATGGATTCAATGATCCTTTGAGATGCAACTGAGAAGAAAGAAAAATATCATTAGTAATTGGGAGTTTATTAGAGAGGATTATCTGGTTATTGAACTAAACATACTTAAAAAAAGCAGATGATTAAAAAAACAGAGAAGAAAGAGACTAGTACCTTGACTAATGAGAAATTGTACAGTAGGTTACAATAGAGAAGTGAATATTGAATGTGTTTGGATGCGAATTCCTTCTAATACTGTGACTACATTTAATGATGAATAACATGTGCGCAGGGGGGGTCTGCATACACAGTTACTTAACATTCCAAAGGATTTTAGAAATCATTTTTGTAATTCAAAGATTTAAAGAAAATGGGAATGGATTTTGAGTTCACAGTAATAAGTTATAAGATGAAATAACTTATAAACATTTAATATTGACTTGAATAGATATTAGAGAAAAAGCAGTTATTCTGGAATAAATTTCTTTTAAGCCACAACTTTTTAAATCTATCTCTCTTGTATCTGTTTCCTCATGTACTTATGGTTACTCTCCTTGCCCACCCTTAAAAACACCAGCCTATTTTCTTATTACCTTGGCTTCCAAATCACATGAAATAAAATAAAAATCCTCTCCCCTGCAGCCCTCTCATGCTCTCTCTAGCTCTCCTYACTCTTCCTCTTGCTTGGTTCCATTCTCTGGTTTCTATTCTCTCTGCTTGCTCTACCTTCTTGCTCTACAAACTGTCCTTGAGTAATCAGATAAGTGAGGGAGGAAAAATTATTTTCCCTTTCGATTTCTTAGCTGGGACCTTTATAACAAGATTAATAAGAGAAGGATAAGTTCACTAATGTATATGTCATATGCACATGGAGATTCCCTGGAAATCAGTAATTTTCAAAGAGATGATCTAAAATTCAGACTTAAATAACATATTCAGCCAAAATCAAAGAAAGAAGGTTGTGGAGAAGGCCAAGTATGGGAAACTAATAACAGATGAAGTTTAGTCAGTAAACATTTTTGTGTAGATTCCTCAGTGCAGGAAAAGACTAAGGTCATTTCAGTAATCAATCATTGCTGTTGCTGGTAGAGATGGAAGGTGGGTCACCTTTGTAAATTTATGTCTTGCTTTTAAGCAAATATGAATATAGCAGAAATATTCTTTTCCTTTGCCTTTAACTCAAAATAGTCCTTATGCCAAAGTGGCATATTTGGAGGTGACAAATTCTGGTACCTTTTACATACATTTGCATAAATACAAATATTAATGTTTATAATCTTTTTAAATTCTGAAGACAAAAGATGTGAGTCGCATCATTTGTCAACTTCCTTAAACATAGTTTGCTGAAATCATCACATAACATGCTGATTGCAAGAGCAGAAAGAGAAATAAAACTTGAGGTACTCAAAATTATTTTTAGTGTTAACTATGGTTCAAAATTAACCCATGTATTTTAAAACTACAGGCTTTGATATGGTAACCCCCAAACTTCAAAATATTTGTGATCTTCTGCATTTACTTATTTATGTAAACATTCTGGCAGTTTTTTTTATTGCATTGGATCTGACATGACTTGTATGGAAACTGAGTTGACACATGTTAAGTGTTTTGTTTTATAACATTTAAAATCTAGTGCTGAACAGATAGAAATCAGATACAAACTTGAAATAAAATTTCATAACAAACTTAAACGTTTGAACTTTAAGTACAATTTTATGCTATTGGTGTTCATGAATTTTAATATCATTGGAAAGAATAGTACAGTTTATAAATAGTTATATCTCCAATGATTGAGAACTACACTGAGAGATTTTATGTGTTTAGCAAACATGTACAACTAGTGCATAGATTGATTTGTGTTTTATTTGTATGGTATAAATTTGAGTCAGTCATTAAAAAGAACTATATTCTGCAATCGAAAAGGTCACTGGATATGGATGCTTAAAAAATGGAAATTGCTATGAATTTGGAGATCATGCTAATTCATCCTGAACCTAATGAAATCTATTAAGATGAAATAATGCATAGTCTTCTATGGTGATCAAGACTAACCAYAAGAGATTAAATCTGATGACCAGGAAAGGGAGCAGTCAGTATGCATATCTGAAGTTTGCCTGCAGGTAAATTGCTTTGTGTTAAACTGAATTTGCTAGCTAGAGCAATTATTTTTCTATAGTATTTTTCCCTTCGGAGACCAACTGCAAATTATACATGTAGCAAATCAACAACCCCCCCCAAATGATGTAAAATGTTTTATTATCAATAAAATGCTATTACTGTGAAGGTAACTGAATAGCAAACCAACAACCAAGAGCTGAAAAAAAAAGATATAAAATGTTTTATTATTGATATAATTTGAGGCATACTTCTAAAGGTACATTGAATTCCTTGAAGTGAGGAAAATCTAAATGTGTATAACTTCACCCATTAACACACCCTGRCAATATTTCTAACCTCTCGTTTCACTTAACCATTTATACCAGAGTAGAGGAGGCAGGTTTTCCCACTACCCCTACTCAGAAAAGTCTACATTGGTTATTTCAGGGTCACCATGTATATGTTCAAGGGCTTCCTATTTCCCACCAGCTTCCCCTAGATTCAGAGAATTGAAACCTCTATTTTAGGCACCTAGGAGGGTCCTCAATTGCCAAAGAGGAAACTGTCCTCAAAAGAACTTGGGGATGCACAGACAAGCATCACTTGGGTCAGTAGACAGCCTCTGGGCCTCTCAGAGAAGGCCCCGGATGGTGCTTGCTTCCATGTGGACCCCTGGCATGAGTGACAACCAAGTTGTCATTCATGTTGGGAACTCAACAAAAACTAACTGATCCTGTATCCACAGCTGCCCCGATGCGCAGTGCCCTGGGCCAGGTAACACCTGCCTTTTTACCCCCTCTTTCTTCTTCACTTGGGAAGTTGTAGTCTTTCGTGTACTGGAAGTCAAGTGCCCGGGTCCTCATTCATTCATTTTAATCTATTGTTTACGACACAAATATTATGATCTTAGWCTCTCTGCAGCTAATAATCTCAGAAATACAAATTGAGTATCCTTTATCCAAATTGCTTGAGACCAGAGGACTTCAGATATAAGATTTGGCAGCGGGGATTTTGCATAACATGAGCTACCTTGGGGAGGGRACCCAAGTATAAACATGAAATTTGCTTAGGTTTCACATACAGCTTACCCAAGGTAACCTGAAGGTAATCTTGTGCAATATTTTTAGTGCACCTGTACTTTGACTGCGACCCATCACAGGAGCTCGGGTGTGGAATCATCCACTTTGACAGTCATTTTGGCACTCAAAATATTTCRGATTTGGAGCACTTTGAATTTTGGATTTTCAGATTAGGGATGCTCACTSTTACGTTAAAATCATCTCTAAAAGGTCAAAAATCCTGGGCTGTTCTTTGCACTAAGAACTCCAGAGATCTTTTGATATCTACAACTGTAGTAGTGACCTTTATGTTTTTTTTCATTGACTGTGCTGGTATTTTCTGGAAACAACAAAGAATGAAGGACTTAGCTCACTTTCGGGTATGAGGAATGGTCAGAAGAAGGGAAAGGTATCAGTTACTGTGAGATAGAACCACAATCGCTAAAACTACAACTGATTGGATCATTTCTAGTGTTAATTATCTGTGCCACCTTGAGCAAATTAATTTAATTCTCTAAGACTTACCTTAATAAACTGAATTAGTTTCTTACAGATGTTGTAACAAATTACCGCAAACTTGGTGATGTAAAAGAACAGAAATTTCTTCTTTTATAGTTTAGAGGCTAGAAGTCTAAGATGAACTTCACTGAGCTGGATTCAACATGTTGTCAGAGCCATGCTGTCTCTCAATGTTTGGAGGAGAATCCATCCTGGCCTCTTCTCCCAGGAAAAGGTGGTCAATAGCATTTCTTGGTTGTTGACTGCATCACCCCAATCCCTACCTCTATGGTCACTTTGCCCTCTCCTCTTTGTGTCCAATATCCTTCTGTTTTTTCTCTTAGAAGAACAGATGTGACTGCAGTTAGATTTTATCCAGATTATCTCCCCAATTAACAATTCTTAACTTAATCAATCTTCAAAGTCCTTTATTGCCATATAAGATAAAATTCACAGATTAACAAGATAAATATCTTTCATTCAGCCCACTGTAAATTAGTTTGATAATATTACCTACATGAATATTAAAGAATATAAGTCAACCATCCATTTCCAGGGGCTTCATATCCATGGGTATAACCAACCATGGATTAAAAATATAAAAATAAGAAAAAAAATGCTTTTTTTACTGCACACATTCACATTTCTTCTCATTTTTCCCTGAGCAATACAGTGTATAAGAACATAGTACTTATATTTGATTAGTAGTATAAGTAATCTGGAGATGACTTAAAGTTTATGAGAGGATGTGAACAGGTTGTATGCAAATATTACACAATTTTATATAAAGGTCTTGAGCATMTATAAATTCTCGTTAAGTGTAGGCGGTCCTGAAACCAATTTCCCATGCATACGCAAGAACAGCTGTAGTATATGAAATTTCCTTAGAACAATGTCTAGTATGCCACAAATTCCTCAGTAAAAATTCGCCTGTGATGATGATCTCAATGACAATGCCACAAGAAAATATAGTGGAAAGATTTACAAAAGCAGAATACATTTTCAATGAACATATATGGACAGTCTCACCTCTGGTTATTTGATGTGTGCTAACCTTACAACAGTAACATTATTTAAAGGACTGTATCTCTACCTTGAATAATTATAACTTAATGGTGCAGATATATGATAACATGACTTTGTCTTTTGTTTCTTTTCATYGGAAATTATGTCAGCAATTTCCTCCATCCTGAATTCTTCCCAAGGTCAAAGCCAAAGATGTGATATAATATGATTGTCCTTTTTGTGCTTTTGTGTCCTKCCCACCTAGGATACAGATCTGATGACATTCAACATCTCTGTACATCGGTCATGGTGGAGGGAACATGGACCTGGCTGTGTCCGGAGAGTGCTTCCTCCGTCGGCCCATGGCATGATGGATGATTACACCTAYGTTTCTGTCACAGGCTGCGTCCTGGACTTCCAGTACCTGGAGGTCATCCACAGTGCCGTCCAAATACTCCTCTCAGTAAGTGTCACTTTTCTGTCATTATCTGATCGGAACTCTTCTCTATTGGTATTTTATATTCACCTACCTGATAGTGCAGCAGAGAAGCACATAGAAAACATTAACAGAGGAAATAGCAGCAATTATGGTGCCATTAGTCATATATAATGGCAGGTTACACCTTTTTCTTCTTGTTATCCACATTTTATGTAGAACCAGCTTGTTGCTATGGTTTCTAACCTGAGATACATTCCACACTCTTCAATGGAATAATGTCACCATCCTCCAGAAGTGGTATGTTGCCCATTATCTCAGAATCTGCCACTAATGTGTTCTTCTACGAATGCTTTAGTTCCAGAGAAAGAATGATGGAAACATACCTACTCAATGATGGTTCATCTAATAAATGTCACATTAATAATAATTAAAAATCAAATCCCTCCAGAGATGCACAGCATTTTGTGGTGGAACTCAGTTCCATATAGAGAAACAAAGATAGGAATTGATTTGATTAGACTATAGAAGCTTTATATACCAAGATTCCTTAAAGGTAATTTCTGTCTACCAGACTGCCCCACCCTCAGTTTGACCATAGTCTAGAGAAGAACTGACTTAAAAGGCATAACATCATCAAGAATGGTGTTCCTTTAAAACCTACCTAGGATTTGCCAGTTAATTTGAATCAAAATACAATATAGCCATTATCAAGCACACTTTTCACATAAACTGACCATCCCAGTTCTTCTGCCCAGTTGGACAGTCAATCAGAATAGAGATGCAGCCTTGATAATAATCAAATCAGAAATATAAGTGGGACAGAAGAGTGAGCCATGTACCTTGGACTTGTTTCTATAAAGTACTTTGAGAAACCCTTATCATCATTTACTGTATGAATTCTCTGCTGTTATGTAACAAATTGCTCCAAGATGTAATTACTTAAAACACTAACAATTTATGGTAGAGTTGTGTGGGCAGGGATCAGCAGGGTAGTTCTGCTTCTCCATTTGAAGTTGGATAGGGTCACCTGCGTGAACCTTTTAACTGGAGCTGTACCGGGACTGAAACATTCAAAGAGGCCTCACTCACCTGCCCAGAGATGGCTGTGGGTTCCCATTCCCCTCCACTTGGCCTCTCAAACTGCAGGAAACTTGATAGTTTCTCTTACAGCAAGATAATGGGGTTCTAAGAGAAACCCCAGCATGCAAGCATTTATCAAGCCTATTCTCCCATTAGCTACCACAGGTCATATGACCAAGASTAGGCTCAATAAAGGAGGGATCAACAGAGAGGCAGAATACCTAGAGGATGTCTCATTAAAGATCACCAAAGTAGCAGCCTTATCTCATTTGCTTACTGCATTAATAATTTTTCTTTAACCTACATGTCTCAAGTTTTAAAATGTTGTTTTAGACCATGTTTGAATTGCAATTTCCTAGAAAAACATAAGAATCAAAGATTTTTTAGTGTTCTAGATCAAAGAGCAAATTTTATACTGAATTCAAAGAAAGGCATTCTATTTCATGCTAATGAGTTTTCTTTCAGACATTTATCAGGAAATTAGATTATTGTAGGTTTCTATTATTACACTTACATAAATAAATACAAGGTACAGTCATTTGTTCATGTAGGTCCATACATCTTTCTTTAAAGTAGCAGTTACATATGAGTATATATACATTGGAAATGTGTATTTTTTTATTGGAAGCCAATTTTTCCTTAAAATTTTTTAGTTTATTTTAAGGTGTAAAAGAATTATATTATCATATACTAGACTCTAAATATTCTTATTAAATTTTTTATATCAAAAACATTTTCTATAATCTTTCATCTGTGCAGAGATCACCCTCCTTTAAAAAAAATTGAAAGTGAATTGATAAACCATTTTGTGAATGATGCATGGTGTCCAAATCTTTGCAATGTGACAAAATGCTATGGAATCAAAAAGCCATTTTCCTATAGTAACTCCAACCCAAATGAACTGCAAGGTGAAATTATTTGATAAGAAGCTGGACTGTCACATAAAGCATACCCTAAAGGGAAATCTAAGTAAACTGTATATGTTACACCTAAAAGCACTTTTCATTTATAAAATGAATTCCTTGATGTATTTTAGTGACCATTCAAAGCTGCCAGTGTTCATATGTAGGTCTGTCTATGCTCTTCCRCCTTCAGGAAATAAAAAAGATTAGACACTGCTCTTTTATTGTATAATACGCCTGACAGACAAAACGTTTAATACTTTATCTTTTATATTAAAATAAAATATATCCTGAATTTGCTTCACAACTATGATATTACAGTAGTCCTCCCTTATTCCCCGGAGATATAGTCAAAGACCAACAGTGGATACCTGAAACTGTAGATGTTATTGAATCCTGAAATGTTTTCTTTCCTATACATACGTATCTACGATAAAGTTTTATTTATAAATTAGGCACAGTAAGAGATTAAAAACAATAACTAACCCTATATCTTAGCAACCTCAGCATGTGATTCTATTTTATTTTTTTGTGATTCACAAACTTTATTTTACAAAGAGGAAGTACTTTACAGTTTCTCCCTTATATCTGAATTGTCTACATCTTTACTCTTGTCGTTTCAAGTCGATATTAGGTAAAATAAGGATTACTTGAACACAACCACTGCCACACTGGTTATTCTTTTAACCAAGACACTGCTGACAAATGCAATGGCAGTGTACACAACATAGATACACTGGGAAGAGGGACGTTTCATGATCTGAATGGGGTAGAGCTAGACAGTGCCAGATTCCATCACACCAATACTCAGAAAAGAGCTACATGCAATTTAAAACTTATGCTTTGCTTTTTCTGGAATTTTCCACTTTGTATTTTCAGATAGAACTTAAAAGCTGAAAAAAAAAACAGCAGATAAGAAGGGAATATTTGTGTATYATTGTGCTTGATTTTATGTGGGTTTCTTATATTTACCATTTATTTCATCTGATTCTGATTATTATTAGAATTTTGACTTTTTAAAATCTGATGACAAAAAAATATCCCTGTATTCATTGCCTAATTTGTGCTGAATTTGGTACCTTATTACTGTAAAACAGAGGCAATGGTCACAATGTTTAACAGCCTGTTGCTGGTGGGACAGGTAATAGCCAAGCAAGTGGATRCAGAGCTTTGAGATGGGACAGGGTACTGAAGGCTTTGCTGCACCAGGGGTAATTTCTTTAACTAGAGAGACAAAAATGTCTAGAAGAACCCAGGGGAGAAACTGTCAGAAATGGCCAGGATGATGGGGGYGGAGTAGGGAAGTTCCTTGGGGTTTCAGGGCATCAACTCTCCACCAAATGAGAGGGAAMTGTTTGAATGATTTATTCATGGATGCAACTCTGCTGGTGAATTGAACAACTCTGTACTTAAGACTAGAACTTAAAATTGGAAGAAAGGATAGTCCCCCCGCCCCGTCTTGAGCATTGCACAGGAACAGGATAAAGGCTTGTTGCCAATGAATAAAAAACAAACAAACAAAAATTAGCAGAACTTGCAAAGGCGACCACGGATGAGTCTCTGGTAAGGGACTGTCACAGGACAGTTAGGGAGCGTCCTTGTCACCCACCCATTCCCCAGCACAGGAACCCAGCACTCCTGCCCATGCCCCTATCACAAGCACTCCCTTCTCAGCAGTGAAAGAAGAAAAGCACAAGGTTGAGAGAAGGTTCCTGTTGATCTAACTCCACCTATTCCTATTCCAAGGCTCCCTCAAATTGTCAGCAATACCAACTTGAAGATCAGTGCAGAATCAGTAGGTTCTGGACAGTGTRAGGAGAAACAAAATATAATCTATGTAGAAGATGAGAAATCAAAGACTGTTTCCAGGGGTCCAAGTGTAAAATGATATTACTCTCCCTCTCTAGCTGCAGATTCCCTGCCTCATTCATCATTTCTTACCTGAAGGATGGCTATTAAATTCCTAAATAATATTCTGTGGCCCAGTTCTGCCCCACCTGTCAAGCATGTCCTTMCTTCTAGGGAGATATTTGCAAAGTGCTAATCTGATCACCCACTTTCTGGAACCTGGAAAACATTAAAACTAATGGATCTCTCTTTGGAGTTAATTTCATTTATATGTTGTACTGAATCCTCAATGTCAAGGTATTCCTTCTTAGATCTGATATGTAACAAACCTCTTTCTTTAACATCTTTGGAGGTTGTCACCATGCAGGTCATAGAGCTCTGCAAATCAGTTTTCCATCATCCCTGTGTCCTTTATATTGTATCTCTCTATCCACATCGATATCCATTCTCTCTGCCTTTYATACCAAATGTGTTCAGTCTAACAGTAAATCAAAACTCTATAAAGAAAGGTAAAACATAATGTTAGTACACCAGGGATCCTGTGAAAACTTGCCTTGGAAAGTTTGTATGAATATCTGGTCCTTCACCTGTAAAATCAGTTGTACAATCACAGGAGCAGGTAACACCATTGCTAATTCAGTCACATATGCTCACAAGTATAAAAAGGCAAATCAAAAAATGATGACATTTAAGTTTTTGATGTAAGTTTCAATTGCTATCAATAGTATCTGTCCAAAGATGTAAATCCAATTAAAAGTTGTTATTTAATTTCTGTACTAATACTTGCATTTATTTAAAGAAACTCTCTCAGTATGTGCCTTGAAATGTTCTAAGTGCTTTACAAGGATGAACTTATTTAATCCTTATAATGACCCACAAGGTAGATATAATTATATTYATTCTACAGACATGGAAATTGAGACTCAGAGAGGTTGAGGGATTTGCCCAGATTCACATATCCTTTAAGAACTTGAAGGTGGACCTCAAATACAGGCAGATGAACTTCACAGTTCATGTTCTCAACCACATCACTGAATATCCCCTCATGACATGGGAAAGGAGAGCTTTGAATTTTCTTAAAGCCCTTTGCTGAGTATAGTGGTAAMCTCTCAGAGCTATAAGGTTCTAAATCTCCTGCTAGGTTGATAGGGTTTTCTTTGGCAGCTTCAGTATTAGAAAGTAACAATAAGAGTG